GATGGGGCTGTTGCTGCTCTGGAGGCTCTCCGAGGTCCGCAGCTTGGAGAACATGGCCAGCGCGTCCGGGAAGTTGGGCGGCGTGGCCGGCGTGTTGCTGGGGGTGCACATCTGCGGGGCATGGGAGAAAGGGGGGTGTCAGGTCAGTCAGAGAGGCTTTTTTGGGGGGGGAGGGGGGTCCCAGCCCACCCACAGTAGCCAGAGCCATCGCCTTTCACCCGTGTTTCACCACCACTAGGGATCCTGCCTGTATCCCATGCCTGGCACCCCCCAGATCCCAGGGATGCTCAGAGCCCAGGACTGGGGGATCTGGCCCTTGAGGGTCTGCGTGGCTCCCACAAAGCTGCCTGGGGAGTGTCTCCAGTGAATCTGGGAAGGACATTTTGGACCATCCAGGATGCTCAAAGCCCAGGGATGAGGCAGGTTTGGGGAGCAGCAGGGACAGGGCTGATGCAAAAGGATGCAGTGTGATGGGTGGGGAGGGTGTTGGGATCTCCCCTGGCCCTGCAGGACCCTCTTTCACCCAGTTCCTTGACCCTTCTTCCCCTTTGCACCCTGCTTTGGCAGGGAGAGCAAAAGGCAGGCAGTGCCCCTCAAGGCCCCCCCAGTTCCTGGTACAGCCCCTGCCTTCTGCGTATCCAGCTAAATTTAGCACCTGGACAGTGATGGATTTGGGCCTTTGTCCAGCCAATCTCCCCAGCTGAGGAAAATCCATCAGGTGGGACCCAGCCTAGCACTGGGGCTCAGGGGCTGGCACAGGGAACCCCCAGTTCAGCAAAGCACTTGTTAAATTGAGTACTGGGGGTGATAAAAGGGGAATGTGGGTGTGTGTGCAAACTCCCATGAGGCTGCACACACAGGGAGGGGGTATGGGCAAGGAGGGCACATGTGGGCAGGGGGATGCACTGCCAGAGGATGCTTGGACATGGGGGTGGTGCATGCATAGTGGGGGCTTCACCCCTCTGGGTTAAACCCATTCCAAATCCCTGTGGCCCTCAGGGAGCCACAGCTCCTGTCAGATGCTTGTGGGGACTTTGAGCAGAGTTAAGGGGCTTGGGCAGCATCTGCTGCCTTTAGCAAGGGGGATTGAGGGGAGTTTCTGATGGTGAATAGCTCCTGCATCTCCCCTTTCCTGGGATTTGCCCCTGGCTGGTGCTCAGCAGCCCCCTGATGCTCCCCAGCACAGGCCAACATCTAAATCCCTGTTATAGGTTCGCCCTCATCCCCATCCCGGCCACCCTTAGGGATGCAGGGATCAGAGGAGCAATGGCCAAACCCTGGTTGCCAGTCTATTTGAAGTTGGGGTGCTCTGTGCTGGCTGTGGGATGGATGAGCTCCCATCAACCTGCAGAGCTGGGGCACCCCAAAAATGCAATCATGGCCAGGCTGGCACTGAACAGGTTTGTGGTGAACCAGGGATGTTCTTCCACAGAACTCATTTCAGAGCTCAGCTTGAAGTGGTGCTGATCCAGCTTTTTTTTTTTTTTTTTTTTAAATAACCTATACGTTTGGCAGCATCTGAAAAGATACCTGTTGCAAAAAAAAAAAAAAAGACACACAAAAAAAATGTAATTTACTCTGTTTTGAAAAAAACCCAACCACCACCAGAGCCATACACACACAACCCAACTGCCAGCCCTGGACTGAGGTTGGATGTGATGCTGGAGGGGGGACACAGCTCTGAGCTTCTGGGGTGGTGTTTGCCAGATTAATTTAAAACATTAATTAAAAAAAAAAAGAATTGTCATGTAATTATTGCTTTCTTTCCCCAACACTTGTGGAGGAGCTCTGAGGGTCGATCCCACCACAAGCAGCCACAATGACACCCCAAACAGCTCTGGGGAATCCCAGTGCCACAGCCCGGAATCTGCAGGGGTTTGGAGGGGTTTGGGAAGTTCCCCCCCCTCCACAGGGGTGACAGTGACGA